CAAAATGAAAACGATATCTTGACAGATGACAATATTACCGATGTGCCTTCGGAGAATCTTAACTTTTTTCAGAGCAGAGATAGGTCAATTCTGTTTCCACCATTGAATTGATAGAGTCAAAAAATCGCCTATTTTGGTCACCGAATCATAATGGAGGCATTATCTCGACAGATGACTAAATTCAGATGGTGTACAGCAGATCCTAGGATCTGAACCTTTTTCAGAGGAAAGATAGCTCAATTCTGTTTACATCATTGACTTTTTTGGGTCGATAAACTACCTTATCAGATCTGACTCTAGAGAATTGAACAGGAGGTCCTAGAAAAAAATTCGAACTCGTTTTAGAGCAAAGATATAGCTCAATTTAATTCACGGCATTGACTTTTCTGCGTCGAACAATTTGCAACTGGCATCATAATATATCTGATTTTTGAGGGGATGCCTACCTACAATAGTTTGTTTCATGTCATTATAAATATAGCTATAGTTGAGGTTTCCAGTCGAATTGATAATTGATAGAATATACCTATACTCACTCAGTTAATTTGGTTGTGGCAGTGATTCTGTATTTGACACTGCTATTAGATGTCATGGTTGTCTTGGTGTTTTTTGCATTTTTCGATGCAGTTTTGAATGAATCTCATTATTCTAACATCAGAATATTTGCTAGGTTATTGTTCATCCAAAATTGATGCTTATGTTTTTTTTGTAACGAAATCGAAATATCTCTTCAAAATATAGGATATCATGATATCAACTTCTAATGTAATTTTGATTGTTGTTAAACATTCACATTATCAATCTGACAATCTCCGACTATTTTATAATGTTCCTCCAAACGTCTACGATAATTTGAAGAATTAATAGAAGCTTGTCAGCTGCTGCGTAATGATAGGTTCTATCCTCCAGGTATTTTCGGACTATCAGGGTAATGACCACTTGCCCACCAAGTGTCATTATGAAGAATATAGCTGCTACTTGAAAATTATACCTTTTGGAGTTCGATTTATCTGATTGTTAGAAAACCGTTCAGGCTGTTGAAAATATAATGAAGGAAACAATTCCAGCTCTTTTTCACATGTTTCATGAGGATTGTTCAAATTAAGTATATAAATTATTCCAGATTCTTTGGGATTTTCTCACCTCGTTTTTATATACCTAACATAAAAATATGAATATTATTTCGATATACGTGTAGTAAGGACAAATCAGATGATTTGCCCCTAGATGTCACCTATGGTGACTGATTTCAGTGCCTGAGGATCAATTTTCATGACGAACACAATGGTTTGAAAATGTTTTTATGGAAACGAAGAATTTTTGAAATAAAATGAGTTTTCGAAAATTGGCGCCAAATGATGTGACTGCAATCCCAGCGAGATTAACCCGTCGAGTTAAGACTTCCCACCCCTTCGTGGTCACTTTGGAGACCTGCAGAACATCTCTTTCCAAAGACTCGTTCATCTAACGAACAGCGAGGCTCTGGAACACATTGCCAAGGGAGGTGTTCCCCGAGGCATATAACCTCCCGAAATTTAAGAAGAACGCTAATTCATACCTTATTTCTCTTTTGGTTCTCACGATGATGTCCTCTGAACAGTAAAGGATATCCCTTTTCGTGGGAATCAGAGATACCTCTTGATTTGAAAAATGGAAGGAAAAGATAAATCGAAAAAATATCTAATTTTAGGCTATTGATCTTTAAATAGACCTTTGATACTTATTCTAAATGAGTTTTGTTTTGTTCCAGGATGATGCTTATGGGTTTTCCAGCAAAGAGGTGAGCTTATGCATGTATATATAGGTTTCATACAGATATACTCTATAAAGCATTCAAATATTCATAAATATAAGTATATACGGGGTGTCCGAACAGTCTAGAAACGGTGGAATATCTCGAAATACACGCGTCGGACCAAAAAATAGAATTAACAGGTGAAGTGGTGGGGTGGGTCAACTCTTGAAGGGGAACCTCAATTTTGTATCACAAATTCGCATTCTACACTGAAAGCTATGTTATGTGCATGAGCTTTATTTGAGACATTTTTCGACTTCGACACTTTCGATTCGTTATGTGAGTTGTTTTTTAATCTTAAATATAAATAAACATAATAATTTTCTTGCGTTGACAGCGCTATCTATCAGAATTCGAAAAAAAGTCTCAATAGTTCTCGAGATATTCCACTGTTTTCAGACTATCCGTACACGGGTGCTCATGCTTCTGATCATAGATTTCCGGATTGAAATGATACATCATGAATGAACAGGTGAGAGAAAATCAACATTGGGGTATGCTGGAGTTGTATTTCGGTTGACGATATATTATTAGGGAATTCCCAAAGATCCTTCTTTTCTTTCTTATCACCCATAGCATTCATTAGGATTATCTGGGTTTTAAAACCACAGATTATGATTTTACAAATGATGAACAGGAAACTACTTATCTGATGTGTAATCCCTGATCTTCGGTATACCTATATACTTCATTCTTAGGCAGGTAATTCACGAATTTTACGACTCTCATAATATACCGAGTGGCTATACACCTATCAGAACGAGGTCTACAATCAGTCGATAAATGGTAGGTAGCAGTGAATCAGTGAAATACAATGTAATATTTTCGTTTCACTTCGTTTTTGCAGGAAAATACTAACTATGTACTCTCATAATTTCACAAACAATATTAGGTATACTACACTTAGAGAAATAGTCGGTAGTGAATACCAAACGTTTAGTAAAATATGCGCCAGTCGCCAGTCACTATACATTCATCAAATAATACCACAACAAAATGGTATCATACTACATATATATACTATTAGAATCATAATATTTTGTAGTCGTTAGTCGTGATATTTGATATAGTTTAGTTATAACATAGTTTAAATTATAGTTCAGTTTATACAATTTTGTAGTGGTATTGCTAGATGAATGTATGGTGACTGCGGCGCTTATTTTATGAAACGTTTTACTATACCGACTATTTTTTTCAGTGTATAGCTTCTACCCGCGACTCCACCCTTCTTGAAGCATCAACATCAAAGATCATTATACATTCCGATAGAACTGAATCAATGGGATTCAGTATTTAATATAATTACTATACATATACAATGAAGTTTCATGAACTAAGAACATTCTCCATTGAAATAATTTACTACATTAAAAATAAGTTATTCGTTGCGCCCTGTCTGTAGATGGATATTGAATCGTGAATTTCAATTGCGCAGGAGACTAAAACGTCAATTTCAATTATGTCACTCATGGTCGAGTTAAGGTGGATTCATGCACGACCTAATTTAGCCTGAATTTAATTTAACCCTATATAAGCTTAAGAAGTTGAATCTTGCGTTTTCAATACATCGGTCCATGTAGTTGACTTAAGGATTGATTGATTGATTGATGTTCGATGCCTGAAGGTATACCTACACAAGCTGAAATCCTGGCCGAATTCTTTCATAAAACGAAGATAATACGCATGCAACCATCACCTAACTTTGGGTTTTTCTAAGAACAGCTTCGTAAATTGTATCGTAAAATCAGTAGGGGTACCTACATCATTTAGACATTCCACAAAATCTGAGGTTAGTTTAGACAAAATGTCATAGACCCTGTTCCGGATAGTAAAACATCGAAATTTATTGGCCAGAAGCACTTCCGACGGCGCCAAATACAGGTATATCAATGGGACGAAAGGATGATGAGATTTATTCTCTAATACTTATAGGTATAGGAATTCTAGGTAGGTATATAGGTATAGTCCTAGTTAGCCAGGATGTTGTTGCAATGTTCAATGTTATAATTATTGAATTATCCAAAAAAAGTTAAAACAGATCCTATACGAAATGGTATATAAGATTTCAAAACAACTGTTTTTGAAATTAGTTGTTGTCATTTATGTTATGATACAACAGTAGGTACCTATATCTATTCATTCATAATCTATGTATCGATATATCGATATATTTTTTTGATATATCGATATTTTTGCACTGCCCTATAGCTCGCGTGAGTGAATAGTGGATATAGATTTCTAGGCGAACTATCAATTTTTAAGGAATCTCCTAAAACAGGTTGAATTTTATTTTCAATTTGCCGTATTTGTGGCGAATAATTCAATACACAGGGTGGTCCACGTTTCATTTATGACGTGAGCTACAATTTTTTCAAACTGAATACCCTGGATATTATTCAAGTCTTGAATCTCTATATGAGAAACTGCGATTCAAAATTATATCCCAGGTGGGGTTTGTATACCTACATAGTGCGCCCATTAAATTCAGTGTTCTCCTAAAATGGAGCCGCATACTGATGCATTCGCGAAATCTATGAATAATTGGAATTCAGCTCTTTATGAAGTTTCAAAAAATAATATATAGGGTGTTGTGTTTGAATAAATTATCACGGACGTCAGAACTCTAGGGTATGGTATATTCAATTTCCATTTATTAATTAATTTAGTCACACTTCACGAGACTACTCAATTCAACGAACGCACGGTATACAAACCCCATTTGTAATATATCTTTGAATTCAGCTTCTCATCAAGGAGATTCTGAAAATTGAGTAATATATAGGGTGTTCCATTTGATAAAATTAGCGCGGACATAAGAACTCAAACGTTGATCACCTTGTATATTCAATTTTCACTTAAAAATGTGGAAAAATGAAAATAAAAATCGACCTGTTGCAGGAGATTTCTCAGAAGTGGACAGTTTGGGTAGTATAATGAATTTATTCCTCTCATTTGCACCATATCGCTACCTCAAAACTACAACTAGATAACTCGAAAATGGGCCGATTTCAGATAACTTCACCAGCCATTATTGTTTCGAATGATACTTCCATTGCAATAACTAGATAACTCAATTCTGATGTTATCTTCCTGATATGGAAAGTATCAAATATAGACATCTTCAAAATCATACATCAAATTATTCCAACAACTTGGTATCTCAAGTTGTCTAATTGTTGCATTCTAATATTTTATTCAAGTAGTGGATGAGTTGAGATATCTAGTTGTGCAACCTGATTTGAACTGGTTATAGCCCCCCCAGTTGTTCGTTTATATTCAAATCGATCGTATTGTTTATCACTCTGTTGTGAATTTTCGGTAATAAGAAGTTGACTTATAACCATTATGAGTAGTAGAGCACGATATATGGTTGATCGTTGTAGGAACAACGGTGAGTATCAATGAATTGTGTAATTATTACTGGCAAGAGCAGAAAAAAAAGGAGCGATAAAGCTATTGCCGGAGAATCTAATGGAGAGCTCATTTGCGCGAACTTCGACCTGCAGCAAGTATTACTTGTTTCAACAGATCCAACGAACAATGCGCTCTTTTACAAACGCAGGCTTGCTACCTTTAATTTTAGTCTACAATGTTGTGAATAAACGAGGAGATTGTTTCATGTGGACTGAAACAGGATGTAAGAGGGGCAGCTGTGAGATTGGAAGCTGCGTATACAAATACCTCGAATCATTACCGATTTCCACGAGAAAAGTAACCTTCTATGGTGATAGATGCGATGGCCAAAATTTGAATAAATTCTTGGCAACAATGTGTTTGCTAGCCGTCCAAGGAATTCACAATATTACAATAATTGGTTTAGAATTTCTGGTGAGTGGTCATAGCGAGATGGGAGGCATGAAAAAGATAGGCCTTATATTGTCCACGATCTCAAACAAGACGATATTTTTGACTACAAAAAATTCGTCGAGAAAAACAGACGAGAGTGACGGACCAGTGAACTGGCAGAAAATGTGTTTCAACAAAGCTCTGCCGTTCATTATGGGGTTCAAAGAAGCTTTCGATGGTGAATTCAAACTCCTCAACTTCAACAAGAAGGCACGTCGTAGTTCTCACCCCACAAATTCACTGCAACCTTTGTACAAAGACTCGACTCCTATCACAGAGCAAACATATTCAAACTTGACATCTCTATTCGAAATCAAACCTCCAGCACTAGGAGATGCTTATAAACCATTTTATTACAGCTTACCTCACAATAATAAAGTTTCAGATGTTTTATCCGATATTGAAGAAGAAACAACTGAAGACTAAAATTCTGAATGTGATTTTTCTGTGTCCCTTAGATAAGTTTCCATGATTTATTATTCACCGTTTCATGCCTGAAAATGTCTCCTAGCTTCATTATGCACCGAAAGAAAAATCTCAGTAATAATTATCAAATATTTGTTAACGTCAAATTTGTTTATAATTAATTAGCCATATTCATAATTGAAAAGGCTTATTCATCAAAATCGTATCTGTTTTTATGCTTCATTTATAAACAATAAATGATTTATTACTGTCATATTTGTTCATTGTGAACAACATTTTTTAATAATTAACAATTCATCTATTACGCAGATTCATGAAGTGAAAATCAATAAGATGAATTTATAATTATAATGTGATTTGGTGATAATTAACAATGATACAGTGTCTGTTCATAAATCTATGTGTTTATTCATTATGATATACATTTGTTTATCATACATATTCGTAATATGAAGGATAACAATGGTTATTTCATTTTATTCTTCGTTTGGTAATTATAACAATACATTTGGTTATAATTAAAAAACTGTTATGCGCATGGGCCATCGTTTTAGTCTAGCTTCCATCTTAGATACCGTGTGCATCTTTGTGAAATCGTTCCTGATTTACCTGTGATTTCGACCAACGCGAAAGTTATGAAGTGTGATGGTTATATTAGTTCAATTCTTTATATGACAGTGAGTGTTTGTTTACATCTGGACATGTATATTTACGTCTACAATTAGCTTCTTGGGATAATTTCATATAGGTACGACATCACATATGAAAAAAAATGGCAGACGACTATCAGTGCATCCCGAGGTGCATCTATTTTACAACATTTAGTAAGTTTAAAAGAAAACAGTGCGTGCATGTGGTGCTAATCAATCGATATTGGAACATTTTGAACGTAAGTAGGTGCGAATACCTATGTAGTATGCATGAGTATTTTCTAATATCATTTGCTTTGCATGAATTTGAAAGAAAGTAATATACAGTGTGTCCCACTTACCATGCTCACCATGGGTATCTTTTAAACGGTGAGAGATACGGGGTCGGTTAAATGACACCAAATGTGGAGTTTGTCAAGGCCAACTATAATGTGAAAAAATATTTAGATAAAATCTATTCGTTTTTGTTTTATACGCAAAAAACAGATTTTGATCATTTCCATGTCCCCTCCGTAACTCCTTTATTTATGAAGATATTCAAATAGGAATTACACATTCTCATGGCAGTTTTTCGAAATGATTTCGAAAAAAATATGAAATTTATACTTACTCTTCTAATATTTGAGATATCAGCACCAACTTTAGTTTTTCAAATGTAGGTCATAGCTCACTATGACTTAGTTACAAATAACTTTTTTTTCTCTTACAGATGATATGTCGCAGTAATAGTTTTGTGTTGATAACAACGGAGTTATCGTCATTTATACAAAAACAAAAAATGATTTGGATGCCGCCATCTTGAATTCATAAATTTTAACAAGAAAATCATGATCTCCGACCTCAAAAACCCCCACTTACCAATTTTGAATGGAATCGGACCAAATCTTGTCCGCCATCTTGGAGCAGCCATTTTTTTTTTAAATTTCTACAAAAATTCCATAATGAATTGTCACCGAAATTATAGACACCTGCCAAATTCCAAGTTAATCGAAGTTATGGAATTTTCGATTAAATTAAAAAAATGGCTGCTCCAAGATGGCGAACAAGATTTGGTCCGATTACATCCAAAATTGGTAAGTGGGGGTTTTTGAGGTCGGGGATCATGATTTTTTTGTTAAAATTTATGAATTCAAGATGGCGGCATCCAAATCATTTTTTGTTTTTGTATAAATGACAATTACTCCGTTGTTATCAACACAAAACTATTACTGCGACATATCATCTGTAAGAGAAGAAAAAGTTATTTGTAACTAAGTCATAGTGAGCTATGACCTACATTTGAAAAACTAAAGTTGGTGCTGACTTCTCAAATTCTAGAAGAGTTGGTATAAATTTCATATTTTTTTCGAAATCATTTTGAAAAACTGCCATGAGAATGTGAAATTCCTATTTGAATATTTTCATAAATAAAGAAGTTACGGAGGAGACATGAAAATGATCAAAATCTGTTTTTTGCGCATAAAACAAAAACGAATAGATTTTATCGAAATATTTTTTCACATTATAGTTGGCCTTGACAAACTCCACATTTGGTGTCATTTAACCGACCTCGTATCTCTCACCGTTAAAAATATACCCATGGTGAGCATGGCAAGTGGGACACACTGTATGTACATGGAAACGTGTGTATGCCATCATAGCTGAGAGCTGATGAGTTTGGTTATATACTTACATAAATAATATTGGTTAACTGTTACTAAATTTGTAATTGATATAAGGCTTAGAAACACCCCCTCGCGGAGAGATCCACGAGTAAATCAATAAGCAATTTTCTGAAATGAAGACATTGAATTATAACAGCGAACAAAATATTTATTCATTATCAATAAAAGGTTTCTTTTCATGCTGTATTTATGTATGAATATTTGGTTACTAAAAACAAAGATTTTGGAATAATGAATATTGTTTGGTGTGGGTGAAGAAATATATATTCTCAGTTAACAAATGAATATTTTCATGAAATAATCATAATTTAACCATGCACGAGGCTTATTCATGGGGGTGTGAACAAATAATTTGTTTTTTTTAAACAAACGTTTAATAAGCCATATTTCAATAACGGATTTGGTAACAGTTAATCATATTTATTTATTGTAACCAAACTGTTCTTTCAGTGTGAGAGAATTCATGTATTCACTTGAATAAATTTATTCCTGAAGCTGTCTAGTATCAATATCATTCATTTTTATGGGTCCAAAGACCATACTTGGATATGGGTAACTATAAGTCATCAAACTTATTCAATGCAACAAGTAGATAACATGAAGAATATTTTTTTAACATGTATTACATAACTCGAAAAAAATTCCTGCATCTACATAAAACGTCTAAAAGAATCATTGAATTGGAGAAAAAAATATTGAATCTACACCTCATGAGTCTAAGTTGCCACAACCGTTATTGTAGACTGTAAATATTCAATTCGATTTATCTCAGAACTATTAAATCATAGATGTCTATTTTTTGCATTGAGGTAGCGATATATAGGTACTGATGTATATTTATTTGTTGTTTTTTTATTTGTTTATTTTATATGTTTCATGGTCTCACATGAATTCGGTAATTGTAAATGTAAATAATCTGTAAACTATACTTATGGTCTTCTTTTCTTCAGAAAACATACATATATTATATTATATAGGTAGTTGATTATAGATATATTATACTTACATCAAAACGAGATCGTATACCTATTCGTAGTTTTTCCATCTTTATACCACGTCGATTCAATAATGTTGTTGGATAAGTTGATCGAAACATCAATAACAATAATCGTTTCTTTCATCATCTTCATCATGCAGCATGATTTTTCGGCAATTATTTCATACATATTCGAATTTCAACTTGAAATCCAAAGCGGCAAAACTGACATCAACTTATTGTTTCCGACGTTCGTCTCGGAATTCCCAACAATCAACCAAAGAACCATTTCCCAGGCTCAATAAGGATATTCATTAGGCTTATCCGTTTTAACAGTGGACTCCAAAACCACGGATTGGGGCATTACAAATGATAATAACACGAAACTACTTAAGCCATCTTAGACGATTTCGGATGATAATCGATTTCCATCACAGTGGAAGGGTTGGCCCTTCCATACGGGGGGTAGTAAATACCACTTCATTCATAATGCTGGGGTTGTCATTCCAAACGATGGGATCTGGAAATACCAGAGATCAATCACTGGATACAGGTATAGGAAGAAAACGAAGGTAAATATACCTATACATCAGAATATGAAATTTTTGTAGTAGGTATAAGTACCTATAATTGTGTTTTTCAAAATTCATCGAGAATGCAATGAATTTTACTAAAATTAGAATAGTTTTGAGCATGTGTCAAATCTCAGTAGCGGGGATACAAAGGATAATATATAATAAGTCGAAAGGTTGCTTTTATCCGACAGAAAAAAAAAACGACGCGGAAAATTCTTGTTGATCCATACTGGTTGAGTCCCATCCAGTTGTATATCTAATATCTCATTCAATATCAATATCATTGAAGAAATTAAAAAATAATATAGCATTCAACCTATTAGGCAAAATGTTAGGTCCACAAATAACATCATCATGATGCGTCAATAAATTAATGGTATATATAATTTACCATCGCATACGTCTGGATGATGAATATGGCTTTATCAGTCCACAAAACACAATATTTTGTACTATTTGTCATTGTCAATATTGTTAACGGATTTTGTCCAAGAATGAAATTCAATGAGGTGAGATTACTTTACATGTTTCGTGCAGAACGAATATGCTTATTTATTACAATCAGCAATAACCTCTCTTGGAAAAATCACGTGAGATCAATTGCTAAAAGTGCATTCCAAAAACTTGGTTTTCCGTTTCGGGCCATCAGGAGCTATTTCACCTCCAGTCAGCTACTTATGGCACAGATCCGAGCTGTCCTGGAATACTGTTCCCATATTTGGATTGCAGCACCCAAACATATACCCTGAAACTGTTGGATTCTGTCCAAAAAAGGGCAATTCGTCTCGTGGGTGATGCCTCGCTTACAAACTCACTCACTTCTCTAGAACACCGTAGAAAAGTTGGCGATCTGGCACTATTTTATAGATTATTTCATGGACGATGCTCTTCTGAAATATCAACAATTGTTCCTTCCTTGGTAGTCCCCGCGAGATTAACCCGTCGGGTTGAGGCTTCGCACCCCTTCGTGGTCACTTTGGAGACCTGCAGAACATCTCTTTCCATACACTCGTTCATCCGACGAACAGCGAGGCTCTGGAACACATTGCCAAGGGAGGTGTTCCCCGAGGCATATAACCTCCAGAAATTCAAGAAGAACAATTCCTACCTTATTTCCCTTGGTTCTCACGATGTTCTCTGAACATACTTGTAGATTTAATAATAATGATTTTCTATAAAATATC